TACAAACCAGTTATGTGACGTATTACGTGAGTTTAACCCTTAAATACGAGCTCGATCAGAGTTCAGTTCAGTAGTGAGTGGCAGCAGAGAGTCAGAAGCAGAAGAAGCAGAATGAGCAGAAGAAAAAGCAGAAGCAGAAGTAGAAGTAAGAGTTAGCTCCAGTCCAACAGTTCCAGTTCCAGTTCCAGTAAGCCTAAACAAGCATTGTACAAGAAAGTCGAATAAAGCCTTAACAGAAGACAGACCGACTCGACAGGAAATCTTTGTGTCCGCAGGGAAAGCATCCCTCCCCCTGCACTTCTCCCTACGTGACACTATCGTTAGAGCTATCATATAGTGTGTTGCTAACTAACTATTATAAACCCTCGCGTTCTGATGGTAGAAAAAGCGTGCACCTTTCTACTTTGTCATTCATGTCCAAAGAACGCGGACTCAACTAACTTATTTTTTATAAAAATAAGTAGAAAACACTTCTACCGTGTCTTCTGCTTGTCTTTTAACGGCACACATAACACGCGTGCGTTTTCTATTTCCCAAATTATTTTGTTTGCAGTTCCAGAATGTTCTCCTGTGATCACCAACATACAAGCTATATCATCTACGAGCATCTCTATGGCTTGGCAACAGGACCCCACTTGTTTAAACGGTATATTACGAGGTTATATCATCCAGTACAGCCTACTTGATAACAGCACAGTACAGTCTATCAATATCACAGATGATCGCTTGTCTACCAGTAGGAACGTGTCAGGACTTCGTAAATACACCAATTATAGCTTTGGAATCCTGGCCTATACRATTGGAAAAGGACCACTGAGTAATGCCTCCTTCATCAGAACTGCTGAAGACGGTTAGTTTTTCAACTTAAAACAAGCATCAAATCAGTCTAAAACCACGAAAAATAGTAAAAAGTCGAGGTTGGAGGTGCCGCGTGTGATAAACTATAGTTTTGCTATGCGCGGAAACTCCCGACTTCGAACTATTATTCGTGGTCACTGAACAGAATAGTAAAAGGGAGTATTGAGATATTTGAATCCTAAAAAGTGAACATTTTAAAAAATGGACTTTTTTTGGTCTTTTTAATACAAAGTTTTTTTTATCATGTTTATTTTCCATTGTAGCTCCGTCATGCTCACCATCGTTGTTATCAGCKCAAACCTCCTCTTCCACAAGTGTTCGTTTGACCTGGAAACCACCGCCAGATAACGAATGTAGAAACGGAATATTGCGGGGCTATTGTATTGGATATAGGTCAKCACCAGAAATTGGGTCATACAACATAATGCTTGTTGATCCACTTACGACAACATACCATGTAACTGGACTTCATAAATACACATGGTACACGTTCACTGTACTAGTTTACACTGTAGCCAATGGTCCACGAAGCAACACATTAGTAAACAGAACTGCTGAAGATGGTAAGAGAAAAACGATGTTATTGGGTAAGCCATGGGTAGCATGGATTGCGTATGCTGCTAATGAGCCTTCTTTCACCACTGTGGTTCCAAAGGTTTGGGTCACTGATTCGAGCCCTGTAAAYACCAAATGTGAATTGAGTTTGTTTGAWGTGTCGTTCTCACCTATGCTACGAGGGTTGTCTCCGGGTTCTCCGGTTTCCTCCCTCCGTAAAAATCAACATGTAAGTTGAGCGTTGTGTACATAGAACATTGAATGTAGTGTTAGTGTGCCGTGTGACTGAAAAAGTGTCCCCATAGTGCAAACGAAACATAAAGAAAGATATTTATTTTCAAGGTATTTTCTTTTACAAACGGATGTTTTTGCTTTGCTGTCGTCGAACTAGCTGGCACTCAGTGGCCGATCCAGGGCAGAGTTTTGATGCCAGAGCAAACTTGTCATCCTCGAATTAATTCAAGCCTAAACCTTCTTTCTTTGAACTCAAGAATAATGTTTAATTTTTTCATTATTTAGAAAACACATGCATTTTTAAATTCATGAATTATCTCGGTTTATAATTCTTTTTTGAAAAATAACTTTAAAAATCATAAATATGTTCTTATTCCTTTTTTTTTTTTTTCTTTTGCTTTAACAAGCACCAGAATGTTCTCCTACATTAATATCAGTTCTGAACGTCTCGTCTACTTCTATCAGCGTAATATGGACTCCACTACCTCATGGTAAATGTAGGAATGGTGTATTGAGAGGATATAAGATGTTCTGTAATAACACCAGCACGGGAGAAAGTTTGGTTATGCAAATCAGTGATAGTGATACAACAACAGTTAATGTAACTGGTCTTAGTAAATACACTGAGTACAGCTTCAGAATCCTGGGATACACTGTTAAGGATGGTCCACTGAGTAATAAGATGACAAGAAAAACTAGTGAAGATGGTAAGTATCCACATGTTTAAATATATAAATGATTCATCATTGKATCATGGAACTAAAAGGAACTCAGAAAATTTGATCGGAGATCGGATGATGGGATGCTCTAACCATTGAGCTACAGGAAAGACTCATGATGTTGTCAAATGCTGTCCAACAAATGCATTGTGTGCTTAGTAGTAAATAGCCCGTGTGGGGTTAAGATCAACTGACAAAACGCGATAGATTCTTTCTATATATTTCTATGCTTCTATACGATTTTTATGTGGTTTCTGTGTGTGATTTGCGATTCGTGTGTGGTTCATGTAAATGTGGTTGGGAATGTGGTTCAACAATATGGTGTTACAATAACGTTAGAACTAACGGAAAAGGAAATACAAATTACTTGCAAATTGTCCTGCTACCTGGACTCAACTGAATTGAATACTAATTTTCCGGCCTATGTAAAAGAGCACTGCCGCAATGGCTCATGGGTAGTTAGAAGTAGCTACAACCCGACCTAAATCACTTACTTGTTTTCCTAAAATTCGCAGCTCCAGATTGCTCTCCAAAATTAAACTYTWYTGAAGTACTTTCTTCGACGAGMATTCGCGTAAGGTGGAATGGACTAKCAARGTTACCTTGTATCAATGGAATTGTACGTGGATATAAAATAAAATATTAYCATAACGGTGGTGATATCAATACATTTCATATCAATTACAAAGGCACCACTACCACAGACATTGTTGGTTTGAAGAAATTTACCTGGTATACGTTTCTTATCTKGGCGTACACTGTCAAAGATGGGCCATTAAGTAAAGAATACTTGTCAGCAAGAACAAAAGCAGACGGTAAGATATTTACATCATCCTATTAAATGCAGCCCTACATAAGTTTTAAACTTACTTCGAGCAATTCTTTTGTAACTTGCAGCTCCCTCTGCCCCAGTGAATGTTAATCGCACTTTGTTAAGAGCAAATGGATACGTTGGCCCGCGTATTGAAATTAGATGGGACGAACCTCGTGAGAAAAATGGTGTGATCCASAAATACTCACTAGTCTACTTCYACAACAAAGATAACGCTACGGAAAAGAAAGATGAAATCATACCAGATGGAGGGGRACAGCGYACATACTTSCATACCATTGATGTTATTGGGGAAACAACTWTCTCGTTCAAAGTCAATGCATACACCATTAAAGATGGGCCTTATCAGGATGGAGAAGACTTGGTTGTTCCTGCTTACCGTAAGATATTGATTTATCCTGATCAAAGTTTTCCATATTCAACAACAATATTCTTCTAGAACGAAAATTACTAGAACGAACCTGAAAAGGAATTGAAGCTAATGTMCAGATTGGGGCTAATATCTAGGTATCTCAGTGTCTGCATTATTMTAGTTTTTTGTTTTCTTCCAGCTCCGAGTACTGCTCCATCAAACATTTCAASGAGAGAAATCAATGACACTTCATTTTTACTGCAATGGAGTCCTATTCCTCGACAGAAAAGCAATGGGCATGTAACGAAATATGAGGTACGATGGATTTTTACGTCAAGAGGTCGCAAGAATAGAGCTAAACGTTCGGTGTTTGACAATGCGAAGAATGATACAACGCATGACCTCCAATATGCAATTACTGGTCTGTTATCATGTGCACAGTACAGCATATCGGTCCGGGGGTRCACAAGTGCAGGGTCTGGACCATACAGTACACCAATCAGTGTCATTACTTCACGTAAGTTAAGTAAAATTAAATTGGACGCTTTAAGTACGTTTAAAGCTTTCCTAAAACTCTTATTGTTTATTTCGCTCCAGAACCTGACGGTCCCTTTGGTGTCTTGGTTAAGCAGACAGGCACAACAAGTGTTTTACTTTGGTGGAAGAAACCAGCAAACGTTRTCGAAAAAATCGATAAGTACATGGTAAACATTTAAAAAAAGTTTTTTTTCAATGGAACGATGCGTTTAAAAAACAGTTCCACATTTTCAGCAAATCCTAGACTGCCATTTATTAACATTTATTATTACTACTATACTACTATCTAATATCTACCCATTTCTACTATGCCATGCATTTTCTTAGCAAAGAACAAGAAACAAAAATCATATAAGCACAGAACGAGGCTAGAAACTTCTAGGTTTAGGTCTAGCCTGAAAAAGGGAAAGAGCTTTAAATTTTTTTATTCATAATTAATTTTTTTAAAAGCACTATTATGTCTCTCGTGTTCGTCTGGGAAATTTACGGCGGTTGATTTCCGTGGGCGGCCAAAATGATCTTATTCTAGCCCTCCCGATCTTCAGCTACGCTTCGGATTTCCTCGACAGTTGGCGTAATCGATGGAATATAGCGTTGGTAGTGTTTTAGTCGTCGTCCCGTTATAATGGGCTTATCCATGTGTGGGACTTTATAGAGCTAATTATTGAATGAGCTCTCTAGAATCACATGTTTTTTATATGAATACCCTATAATTTCTYCTTGTTCTTTTAAAGATTGAATACCGAGGTTATAAGACGTACACGAAATTTAAAACTGGAAGGAATGTAAAAACGATTGACGGAACGGAACATCGTATAACGAATCTTGTACCAGCGACACACTATGAATTCTGGGTATCTGCATTCACTCCATGTGGAAAGAGCCCAAGAAGTACTTCAGCAAAAACTGAAACTCGYGTGACCAGTACGTATCAAAGAGTTTACGAATCAATTTCTCTGATCTATCATTAGAAAAGTGTAATTATAATAATATCTGTATCTCAGTATTCTTTCAAAGAAAATCATTCGACAAATTAGCTAAAAGTCTAGTACTTATTCAAAATTTCTTTCCAGATCCTTTACCACCAAGAATAGAAAAAATACAGCAATACCATGAAACCGGTGTATCAGTTAATGTAACATTGTTTCCTGCTTCTCAAATTAATGGGCCAATCAGGTATTGCTATTTTTATTTTTTTTAAATCCGTTGGAATAGTGGTATTGACTAACCAGGAAAAAGCAAATTTCGTATGACTGCGCATACCTTAAGCAAGGTATACGGCCTGAGTCTTCAGTGACTGCCATCGATAGTAACACCACGTTCGACCATACCAGTTTTGTCGCGCGCTAGAACTGTGATCAAATAATGTCATCAGTTCCTTACCGTGGCAGCTTCACAGAGTATGAACATTAATCTGCTCTGAGAGAATGCAAATGAGAGAATGGTTGGCCATAAGAATACCTGACACTTCATAAGTAATGTTTTGCATTATCACAGCGCTTATCAAGTTATTGTGGAGTTCCTGAAGGAAAAYGTAACCAGGTTTGACCACCGACTGCTTTCAAACTACGAGCAAAATACATACAGCTATCCAATAGCCGAGAAGAACAATGTGGACTATTACATCACTGCAGAAGTACAAGGTGATTGGCTCAAATCATCCAGGCAACTGAGGATTGGTGACAACTTGACATACAGCAAATTTAGAAATATGCCTTTGAAGAAAGGTGCACGATATCATATTTACCAGAGAACTGTGGCAAAAAATACGACGGTAAGGGTTTTATTTTTACAGTAAGTCAAATACTAGGTACATTGACCACGAAAAATTACAATAATATTTTCAACGTTTATAGAATGGCTCCAAAAAAACAAAAACAAAACAAAAATAAACTCAGAGCGATTTTAAAATCTTTGCCCCAAATAAATTGGTTATTTTTCTAAAGTACGAGTATACGAGAGCCTTTTAAGAAGTATTAAAATACTGCAGTTTCGAATTATCTGTTCCACAGGGTTATTCGAAATACATGAAAATATATTCATGCATTTCAGAGAAGATCCATTGTTTTAGTTGCGTATTCTTCACTTTATCGCTGGTATTTGTGAACATTTGAGGCTAACCCTTTATAAATGGGGATATGATCAAGGAACAAAGCGGTATTTAACCAATTCAAAAATATCAATAAAGAGCTTGACACGAGCTGGTTTTTAGAAACCCTCTAGTAAAAATCCTGGAACCACCAGATTGTAAGATTTTTGGTAGCGGGATTAAAGTATGATCTTTATGCTATTTCAGAAGATGCTGTACAGCAAAGAAGCACTGGTAGCAAACATCAGTGTTGCATCCGCGGATGGTATGTGATTCCATCATTATAGTTTTGTTTTGTTTAAGATTGCGCCATGTTTAAGATTTTGTATATTAAAGTAAGAGCATTTTAATATAGGTTGAATTATACAGAACAGATTCATGCATCATCACCTAATCTGGATTCCTTTCTTAGTCGTAGAAGAAACGAAAGCTCTTATCCGAAATACTTCAGGATCGGGAACCGTGGTTGGATTAGTGGTGGGTTTGATGCTGCTGATAATTCTGGTGACTTTTGTTGCTTACTTCATTTTGAAACGGTACGTGACCAATAAACATTATTGTACAATACCCTTTGCTTCTATCAAAATAACCTATATCCCAACCGTTACCAAAACAAGAAGCTTCCTGATACTTCAAGTAAGCATGAAAACATAAATTACAATTAATGTACCCAAGTCCTTTGGCCGGATTGGCAATTGCTTTAAATAGTTAATCTTATCTGAATAGCGGCTTTGCACCATCGAGTGATGGCAGCCATGACAGGAGGCAGGCACAATTGAATCTGATCATATCTGATTTACATGAGAAAGTATTCAGTTTCCCAGGGGAAAAAGACTCTATTGTTGTGCCTCATGTCATGGCTGCCATCACGTGATAGTGCAAAGCCTCTATAGCAGTTGTTTATGCTTTAGCAAAATCGTAACACCACGAGCGTACCAAACCTTTCAGATGAGGGTTTAACGCCCTTCTCAGAGTTCTAAAATTCTAAATTTGGGATTTTTTTAACTAAGTAAATACTTATACAAGTGATGCACACATGAGCATCTATGAGCATGCTATTTCCTAGCACTGATTTATAAGTATCCTTGCGCTCTTAAGGCAGAGAAACGTAAAGAAAGAAGAAATCAAAAATATCTCATTGCCCTTAGTAGCGATTAAATCACAACAACAGAACAGCTCAAATGACCAAGGTGAGTTGTAAATGGAGCTTAACTCTCAAAAACAACTTGAATAGATGTAATTTATTTGGAAATGGTTGAGTAGCAATTTAAGTAAAAGGAAAGGAAAAAGCTGTTTGGATGAAAATAGGCCCTTTTTCCGTTAGTGCTTTGTCTATCCATTATTTTGGGTCCTCACTTCTCTGTAATTCTTAAATTATTTGTAACTAGTACAATATTAACTTGCACACATCGTTTTTTGAAATCGATATGCATTTTTCG